GACGCCGAGGGGTTTGGTGCTTCTCCAGCAGCTCTCTCATGAGGTTCTCTCTGTACTTTTGGTAGGTAATCACCTCACCTATAGGAGAGAGGGAGTGGGGAGGATGAGGGAGTGGGGAGGATGAGGGAGTGGGGAGGATGAGGGAGTGGGGAGGATGAGGGAGTGGGTAGGTGGGTGAGATATTGTCAATGTATTGTAATTGCATAAATGTATGTGATTTGTACATGTCCAATTACAAAAAAAACTTGTTTAGTAATCTTCTCATCTGTTAGCTGGTGGTGAACTACGTGGCCGTTGAGGACAGCAGTGTTGATCAGATGGAGAGAAACATTTTTTATTATACCGCTTGGTAGTTTTGCGAGCGCATTCCACAAAGCTGTTTATCATGTCCGCCTTATCCACTTCCCCCATTTTGAGGTTATAATCAAGCACACAGTCTGGTTTGATCTTTCTCTCCCCTGTCAGGTGGTCCACTTTCCCTGTGGCCGACATGGTTGCTGTATGGACAGTGGAAAGGACATGGACGTCTCCTTGAACTCCACCTCCCCCCTCTGCATCTTGCTGCTTCCAAATGCCGGCATCCCTTTCCTATTCGACCAAACCGTGCCACAGGCCCCAGTGCTGTTGGAGAGCAGAAGCTGGAAGAGTATGGGACTGCTGTACCAATTCAAATAAATATCAAACGTTATTGGTTGCGTAAACATATTTGGCCGATGTTATTGCAGGTGCAGCGAAATGCTTATTTACATTTATATTTACGTAATTTAGCAGACGCTCTTATCCAGAGCGACTTACAAATAGGTGCATTCACCTTATAGCCAGTGGGATCACCACTTTACAATGTTTTTTTTTTTTTTTTTTTTGGGGGGGTTGGGGTTTGGGTTGGGGTAAGGGGGGGGGTAGAAGGATTACTTTATCCTATCCCAGGTATTCCTTAAAGAGGTGGGGTTTCAAATGTCTCCGGAAGGTGGTGAGTGACTCCGCTGTCCTGGCGTCGTGAGGGAGCTTGTTCCACCATTGGGGTGCCAGAGCAGCGAACAGTTTTGACTGGGCTGAGCGGGAACTATGCTTCCGCAGAGGTAGGGGAGCCAGCAGGCCAGAGGTGGATGAACGCAAAGCCCTCGTTTGGGTGTAGGGACTGATCAGAGCCTGAAGGTACGGAGGTGCCGTTCCCCTCACAGCTCCGTAGGCAAGCACCATGGTCTTGTAGCAGATGCGAGCTTCAACTGGAAGCCAGTGGAGTGTGCGGAGGAGCGGGGTGACGTGAGAGAACTTGGGAAGGTTGAACACCAGACGGGCTGCGGCATTCTGGATGAGTTGTAGGGGTTTAATGGCACAGGCAGGGAGCCCAGCCAACAGCGAGTTGCAGTAATCCAGACGGGAGATGACAAGTGCCTGGATTAGGACCTGTGCCGCTTCCTGTGTAAGGCAGGGTCGTACTCTCCGAATGTTGTAGAGCATGAACCTACAGGATCGGGTCACCGCCTTGATGTTAGCGGAGAACGACAGGGTGTTGTCCAGGGTCACGCCAAGGCTCTTCGCACTCTGGGAGGAGGACACAACGGAGTTGTCAACCGTGATGGCGAGATCATGGAACAGGCAGTCCTTCCCCGGGAGGAAGAGCAGCTCCGTCTTGCCAAGGTTCAGCTTGAGGTGGTGATCCGTCATCCATACTGATATGTCTGCTTATGCTTATGTTTCTAGCTCCAACAGTGCGGTAATACCTAACAATACAAAACAATACACCCAAATCCCAAGAAAAGTAAAGAAAGATATTAAGAAATAATACAAAGTGTGGCCCTTCCTAAGATGATGAGCCAGCATGGTCCTCATAAGCATGGTCCCCATAAGCCCCTCAGTGTTGGATGTCAGTGGTGGACCCTCTGAAGACTATAATGTCTTTGACAAATCCTGTCTTCATGTCGCACATAACAAAGAACTTGACCCCAAACCTGTGCCTTGTAAAGGGAATATATTGATGAAACACCTGCCTACCCTTCCATAACATCAGTGCTTGAGGTGTCACTACAGACCCCCTGGTTCGATTCCAGGCTGTATCACAACCGGCCGTGATTGGGAGTCCCATAGGGCGGCGCGCAATTGGCCCAGTGTCGTCTGGGTTTGGCCGGTGTAGGCCGTCATTGTAAATAAGAATTTGTTCTTAACTGACTTGCCTAGTTAAATAAAGGTTCAATAAAAAAATAAAATTAAAAAATCAGGGACTAACTAACTAACTAACGTGCTTCTACATCTGCATTGCTTGCTGTTTGGGGTTTTAAACTGGGTTTCTGTATAGCACTTTGTGACATCTGCTGATGTAAAAAGGGCTTTATAAATACATTTGATTGATTGATTTAACTAATGCAGCAGCATAGATGAATTAACGTAGGAGGTTAAGAGAATGAGGTTAAGGTTAGGAAAAGGGTTAGGGTTAGGCTTAGCTACAATCCAACGGGCCAGGATTCCGGTCTAGAAGCACGATTTCGACTGTTCCTACAATTTGCTTCAGTACTGCAATTTAATTGACACCAGCCCAGAAAGACAATTTCCATACACGGCCACATAGAGAAGTTAGATTAGAAAATTCCTAATAAGACACTTTAGTCATCACCTTTGTGCACAAAACATCCATTGAATTGTTTAAACTGAATCACTCACACCCGAAGATATTAGCATTTTATATTCATCCAACGTCTGCCATGTTTTTGGATGATATGATGATGACGTCGTCGCTGCTCACGCTGCTCCCTGTGCGCATTGAGTGCTAGTGCACATGTGATGTTGTTCCGTATAAACCGGATGCAAAAGGGGGGGTGCAACTCAATATTAGGAAGGTGTTCCTAATGTTTGGTATACTCAGTGTATATACTGTATTTTATTCAAGGCTCATCCTATATACTGTAACTACTGCTATACAGACCTTGTCTATTCATATACTGTCCATAATATTCTAGTGTCAAAATGTACTACAAAGTGTAACTAGTATAATTTTGGTCATAAAATCAGTCTTGTCTAAAAAGGAGATGTATGTCACAGAATGAAGGGTACCAAAACAGTTTTCCATGGGTTGGGTTTATTTTATTCGCCCACATGCCCACAGCTGGCAAGTAATAATCAATTCGGAGCGCAGCTGCACGGGACCCGATCGTAATGACCTTGGTCAATCTTGTTTGACATTCGGTATCCCTATGGGGCTATTTGTACATGCCAATTGGCACACACTGGTTGAATCAATGTTGTTTTCACATCATTTCAATGAAATTACGTTGAACCAATGTGGAAATGATGTTGAATTGACGTCTGTGCCCAGTGGGATGGGACAATATTTTAAAAGGTCAATAGCTCCAACTTTCTATGACTTAAAAACCTCAAACCAACTATAAATTAAAGAAAGTCATATACAAATATTGAAAGCATTTAATGAGACAACTAAAAGATGTGCATTTACATTGTGCAATTTATTGTCAGTCCCTAACTATCCCCAGAGATAGGCTATCCAAAGTCAAACCAACTTTGCCACGGTTGCACACCAGCTGGCTGAAGCTAATTGGCTAAATAATTTGGCTAACTCTTCCCACCTGCGAACACACAGAAGAGACACCCACATCAAACCACAACCCGAAACCAACTCACGTTTGAATTCAGTCATGGCCGCTAGCATTTCTTAATGAACCAAATCTAAAACGAGGCCAAATTAGGAATTGCAGTCGCCCTTTAACAATTTACACAGAACATTTTTCAAAAACACATTCCAAAAAGATCTGCTCTGAACTGAGATTCAAAGATGTCTGCAGCAACAAAGGGGTGTCAGCTATAAAAAAATATATATGTTTTTGTCACATACACCAGATAGGTGCATTGAAATGTGTTGTTTTAAGAGTCAGCCATAATAGTGCGGCACCACCGGAGAGCTCATGAGGACACTTTGGACACTTTGATAATAAATAAAGTTGACTACATAGCTTTTATTGGTAAGGTTATCAATACGAGTCAGGTTGTGTAAAGCAGAAATGCCAGGTTGAAGGTTATTGTGGAGATGGCAAAAAATATATTGGGGGTAACTGATGTTACTGTACAAACACAAGCATACAAACACACATTACATACACACTATACACATGTACACCTGGATTGTGTGTTGTAGTGGGTTGAGGGCACACACTTAATGTATTGTGAAATCTGTTGTAAAATGTATTTTAAGGTTTTAAAATGGTATTATAATGTATATTACTGCCATACATTTTGCTGGACCCCAGGAAGAGTAGCTGTTGCCTTGACAGCAGCTAATGGGAAACCATAATAAATACAAATACTGTTGAAATGGTTGTACAGTGTTGGGCAGATCACGATTGATCGTACATTCCAACACAGTAGGTGGCTGCATGCCCTTTAAACGTTTGTTTGCAGACCGCCATGATATCATAGAAGAAGAAGAAGAAGAAGAAGAAGAAGAAGAAGAAGAAGAAGAAGAAGAATCCCAATCCCTAGAACGTTCGCGTACATTCTACGTGCGCGTTCACATTTGGGCGTGGGAATCTTGTGATCCGTGCGTCAGCTGTCACGGGGAGATAGCACTAGTTGACGTACGCGCTTGTGTCTCCATGCAAGCCGGCAAATTGTTTAGAAACGAAATAATCTAAAATTCTACTCACAGGAAATAAAGAAGTAACAAGTTGTTACCGAACAGTATCAATATCAAGCTGGACCAAGCGGATGTCCGGTTCCAGCAGGAAAGTGGCTTTGTACCGTTGCAGAAGGTGGAGGGTTTAGTTATAAAGACATTGGTGGAGGTGGTTGTGCGGAAGAAAGAATAGCAGGTTTCTCGGTTGGACGCTTGCTAGGGCTAGTTTGTTGCTTGTCAATTAGTGTGCTGGCTTTTTTTTTTTTTACCTCGTCAAACACATGACATATTGCCAGTAGTTGCTGCATAGTAAAACATAGCTAGGCCGGGTCAGCCGGTTAGCTACCGAACTAATGACAAGATAGCTTGCTCAATAGTTATGTCGAGCAGTTTTACAAATAAGACGTCTTTGCTAAGCAGCGCTCCACAGAGGCCTGAGAATAGGGTTTCATCTGTCGGCAACAACAACGGAGACTGGGACTTGGAAAACGATGTATTTGTATGCTGCTATGAAGAGCCTATTGGCGAAACAATGCAGGCAGGGATGCACTCTGTTCAGCCAGGTCTGGCCAGGCACCTGCGAGGCCGACACCAGGGTCCTCCGGACGGTATGATACTGGGCCTAGAGGAGGCTTACCCCGGCTGTCACAACAACCGGAGTCCTCCCGCAGCCTACCTAGACACCAGTCCTCTGGACTTAAGTGAAAATGACCGGAACGTCGCCCCGGTGTTAGAAAGCAGAAAGAGGACTCGGTCCAGTAGTTCAAGGAACCGGTATAACGAGGTTGTCACAGAATTGGGACCCGAAGAAGTGCGATGGTTTTACAAAGAGGACAAAAAAACGTGGAAGCCTTTCATTGGACACGACTCTTTGAAAATTGAGGTAATGTTCCGTAAATTCTGCGAACTGAACCCTGGCACGACCAAGCGCCAAGGCTCTTTGGGCATGGATGAAGGGTATGAGGAAGAGAATGCAAGCGGGGTGGAAGCGACAACTGGGGGGTCGAACGGAGTGGAGCGAACTGGGGGGTCGAACGAAATCGAGCGAGCTGGACCAGTGCCGGAGCAGAGAACTAGGGTTCATAGGGACAGGGGTTCGATGGAGAGAACAGACTCCACATACGAAAGAGACCTTGATTCAATAAACATCAACGTAGAGGCTGTATGTGTCAGGGGTGGGCTGTATGAGGTGGATGTCAAAGACAGAGAATGCTATCCTGTGTATTGGAATCGTAAGTATCAATAGGAAGCATCCTCTTTACTCCTTATATACCCAGCATTCATGTCTAATTTGTTTTGCTTACAAGAGGGTTACTCTTTAAAGTATTTTAGTCGACATCTACCCATGTTGCAAAGTGCTATTCATCTGCCACTGGCAAGCAAATGCCTCAGTGCCAGATGTTGAGTGGTGCCGATAATCTCTGGTCTTAATTCCTGCTGCGTATCTCTCCAATGAGAGGCTGCAGACTGCATGGACAAGTCACTACCAGGTCACTACAGAGATTAACTCGTATGCACTCACGAGATCAGAGGTCGCATGGCATGGTGTCGCCATCGCTCATTCATGTCTCCTATGCAATCTGCCTCTGTCTACAATATGCTTTAATGTACAAATATAGGCCACACATATAGTCACAATCCGGAATAGAGTCAGAACCATCGCATTTCAGCAACTTAATGAACCGAAAGTTTATCTGTGCCACCTATCACAAACCCACAAAAGTGGCCTATTATTAGTCTAGCCACCATCCCGGGCACTGCCGCCATTGAATGTATCTGGACTGTGCCAACTAATTCATGGAGATTTCCAAGAAAGCCAGCCATGGTGATAGACCTGGTTGCTATAGAGCCCTGGATTACTTGAGCAAGCCAGACAGATATTTCATTTTCCCTGAAGGGATGCATGGCTAACTGGCTGAGTTCACCTAGAGGCAACACAGTGACAGTTGGTTTCCTAGGATCTTCCAGCTAGATGTTGTAGTCAGTTTGAGGCTGTGACTGTTTGGGCCAGTAATATCACTGTTTGACATGCATGAGCTAGCCTAGGCACATATCTTCTTTCACTAGAGTGTTTTGTTGAGTAAGACATTTCTAAGGATCCATTGGTATTTTCATTATCCTACATCTGTACTCTCTGCACCACATCCAATGATAAATGTAACCTGAATACAAATGTAGGCTACTGTAAAAGTGATTCCGTAATAGGTGTTTTCTGTCTTTGCTGCTCTATACTATAGATAGTGCTGCTTAGGCATGTGTTGGTTACTACCTGTTTGTATGAATAGTCACACCCAAGCTCTGTGCCATTAGATAGAAGCACACATTACACAATGAAGTGTTGTAGTCATGCTCTCACCAACTACTACTAATTCTAAACTAATCAGTTCTGTAATCAACTTTGGCCTCCCTCCACACTCCACTGAGATTGCCAATGCCTAGCTTTATGGGTTGCGTGCTGTGTCAGCACCACACACATAGAGTTGTTACCTGCTGGCTCATGCTACGCTACTCATTTTTGTCTTTGATTACCCTAGCATTTTGTTCTCCCGTCTAGAAAACAATCAAGGGGAAACGTTGAAAGAAAAAAAATGGATTGCTTTGTAAATCTGTCTCTCTAACTACCCCCTGCTCCATTCTCTCTCCCACCCTCAGAGCAGGAGAGCATCCCTGTCATGAGGGGCCAGTGGTTCATCGACGGCACCTGGATCCCATTGGAGGAGGACGAGAGTGACCTCATCGAGGTGGAACACCTGACCCGTTTCCTTGGGCAACAGATGCAGGACAGCTTCGACTCTGACTCTGTGGTGGCCAAGACAGTCGACAGCAAAGATGGTGAGAGAACACCGGGGCTTGTGGGAGATGTGGTTTAGGCCTAAATTAATATTTATCAAGTGTAGGCCTATATCAAGTATATAATGCATGAATCTAAAGACTGAATACCAGTTGTCTCCAACCCTAGTCCTGGAGAGCTACAGTCTGGGCAAGCTTTTGCTCCAGAGCAGAACTGAAACGGCTGATTCCACTAACCACGTCTTGATGATTTGTTGATTAGCTGAATCAGCTAGTTCTCCAGGACCAGGGTTGGATACCAGTGCTGTAGCCATGCTCTCTCACAATCTTCATCTGTGAAGTTCTGCCAGCTCAATCACTACTAACCTGATAATTCCAGAAAGGTACTTATCTATAAAGAACTAACACATAATGCAGTGTGATAGCAGCTGTCAAATGGGGTTCTCTGTAGATGGTGTCTGGGTTAGTTATGGACTCCATTAAAAATAACACCCACTCCCATTACATTTATTTACCTTAGCCCCCTTATCAGAACTGAAAAGTGTTGTTGGGACTCATAAACCATAACGTATTAGCTATCAGGATCTCCCTGTAGACCAGCTAGGGGAAAAATACCAGTTTGTCTTTATGAGGCTGTTGATTGTATTGTGTTAACCCAGAGTGTATTATAGGTAAAAGTGTGTTTTTCATGCAAGGCGCAGACAGCACTTCGTTTCAGGAATAGCTTGTTGGAGCACTCAGAAAACAAATGACAAATGGAATCTTTCAGTCAGCAATCCCCTCCTGAATGCAGTCTTCAGCCCTGTGAGATGGCTGCTTCTTCTGTGATGAATGTGAGGGTGTGTGAATGAGTTTCGATACCAACGGTATTAAATCAGTATGTCACCAGGAGAGATTGTGTGTGTGTGTGAATGTTATTGTGTATGTGAGGGAGAATGTCACAAATGTGTACGAGAGAGGGAAGGAAAATGTCACCTGTATGCTTGCCTTTGTGTTTGTCTGTGTGAGATAGGGCAAATGCCACCAGTGTTGGTGTGTGTGCTGTATGTGTGAGAAATCATCTGACACATCAAAGCTAAGCTTGAAGATAACTTCTATCTCGAACTGAGAACAAGTGCTGCTTTCCTACCAACCAAGGCCAGCGCCATCTCCTCAGTGTATGGCACTCTGAATTGGACCATAACAGTTTGCACACAGTGATTAACCTCCCATTGTAAATGATCATGACTTTCTCTGACTCACTGGTAATCAAAATAAGTTTAGTCCTTGAATGGTTCCCTGCTCTGTATAGTCATCAGTAGACTGGCTGGCTACTGGAGGTTGCCTTATCGCCACGGTAATGCACTGTTCTCTCAAGCGCCTGCCCGGTACTAGCTACGCCACTCAAACTTAGTCACAGACATGAACTGGTTGGAAAGACAGAGGTCGTTGCCTCTCTCCACTCACTCACTCTCTACTATCCTTGTCAGGACCAAACAATTGATTCCCATTCAAAATCCTATTTTCCCTTAAACCTAACACTAACTGTAACTCTAACCCGAATTGTAAACCTAAACCCTAAGCCTAAAAAAGCATTATTCCTTGTGGCGACCGGCGAAATGTCTCCACTTGTCCGGATTTTCCTTGTTTTACTATCCTTGGGAGGACTTCTGGTCCCCACAAGGATAGTAAAACCAAACCCCACACACAATCAACCAATCTCAATCTTCTCCACCCCCACCCCCCCTCTCTCTTTCTCTCACTCTCTCCATCTATCCCTCTCTTTCTCACACAGCCATATACACAAATATAAACACACACCAAATCCCCCTCTGGAAGCACTGCCACATCCCATAATTTCAGTTTTGAGTCACCTCTTCGACAGAATACAAAACTGTTCTGTTCTAACATTTCACCACATTTAATGAATTCATTCATTCAAGGATTCACTTCGAAGTTATCTGTTCACACATTTTGCAAAAGCCAATTAACACTTGAAAATGACACCCCTGAACAGTGAGTCTATTGTACCATATACAGTAGCTTACCGAATCGGATGCCCTGATGAAGGCATAACTTCCGAAACGTGTAAGCCTGCCCGGACTAAAATAAAAAGGTGAAATGAAGTGACATCTTTTTGTATTAAATGTTCGATGTTATTGAACTTGGGATTTTATTTGAAGTCATTGTCATATATGGCAGAGCACCCAGCTAGTAAAGTGAGAGCGCCCATCTGTTACCCCCTCCACAATACTGCATTACCCTCTCGCTCTCCTTCTTTCCCTCTCCTTTCCTCTCCTCCCCCCATCGTTCTCCCTCAACTCTCTGCGTCTTTCTCTCTCACCCGCTCACCCTTCCTCCCCTTCTCCCTCTTTCTCTCACCCTCTCCCTCTTTCTCTCACCCCTCCCTCCCTCTTTCTCACCCTGAAACCCCAGCAGCCAGCTCAAAGCCTAATGGAGCAGAAAGCAAGTGGTGTGGCTTGCAGGCATGTTATGTAGGCATGAGATCATCATAATGCAGGCAGAACAAGGGCTCTGTCCTCTCCTGCCTTTGGTTACTGCTGCTTTGTCAGTCAAAAAAGGTTCCTCATTCCTCATCAGGCTTCTGTGGCAAAGAGTGACAATTTGCCACTTCATTTGTAGTTAATGGCTGCCGTTGGTGCCTAATTTGAGGATGGAAATTGACAGTTGCCACAGATGGTGGCCCACATGGCAGCTGTACTGTGGAGGGTTTACTGATGATTTCGGCAGCTACTGAAGCTGGCAATAGGCTGATTCACAGAATACAGAGAGTCTGTCTTACTTGCCAGTCTGGCTTGGAAGTTCCTCTCAGAGGAAGAAAGAATGTACAAAGTATCACTATGAGAGTGTTTGGCAAACAAATATTTGATACTGTAGGCCTGTACGCACTGCACTGTCGCACGCGCTCTCTCTCACACACACACACACACACACACACACACACACACACACACACACAGAAGTGGAAACTTGGGAACAGAGTTGCTCCATGCAGTGTGACTGAGATTGCACCTCCAGAGAAAAGTCCCATTGGGGCTCCATGACCCTCTCACTGTGATTACACCATTTAAGGAGCAGGGTGTTAATAGCAAGAGGCCCCCTGTTGGCTCCCCTCTCAGGTTTTAGGAGGCCTGAAGTAAGCTTAATGTGACATCTTTTTGAGTGCGGACCCATTACACCTTTTGTTTGTCAGACCTTCTGTTTAAACATGCACTGGGTTTGTGTCACTTAGACTGTGTGCTCACTGTGCTGTGTATGTCATAATCTCTGGTAGATGTGTGTTTACTGTGGGTATATGCCTGCGTGTGTGTCTGTCTGTGTTGGAGTGGTGGGTGATGATGGCAACAGAGAGATGCGAGTGTGTGTGTGTGTGTGTGTGTGTGTGTGTGTGTGTGTGTGTGTGTGTGTGAAGGGACTGTGTACTGATGTGAGAATCTATCATATGGGTGTGTTTTGAAGGCGTTTGAACCAGTAGAGAGATTTGCATGTGGGCTGGCTAGAGGCTAGGCCAGGGCTCATGACGGTGGGGAGTACTTCAGTCCATCAGGCTCCTGGAGCATCAGGGCAAAGGTAATGTGTCAACAACACACACAGGTCATAACATCACATAATGTCATGTCACAGCTAGGGCTGGGAATTGCCAGGGACCTCACAATACAATATTATTACAATACTTTGGTACCGATACGATATGTATTGCGATTCTCACAATAAATTCTATATGTATTGCGATTCGATACTGTGATTTTGTGATTCGATGTTCCAAACATATTGCTCACCATATGTCTGCTGCAGAGGGACAAGAGAGGGCCATGAGAAAAGGTTTGATCAGTCATTGAAATAAAAGTGCTGAAAACAAATTGTCTCCATATTTAAAAAGAAGATGGAGAACAAGCTATGAAGGAAAAATAGTGGAGTGAGTTAGTAGGCTGCAGGTACAGCCAACTAGCAAAATAAATGATATTGCGATATTGTCAAAGTGATACGATATATTGTCAAAAGTAATATCCCGATATGTAACTGTATAGATTTTCTTCCTCCATCACTAGTCACAGCTCTAGTCTACAACCCAGGACAATTGTCATGGCACACTATGACATTTACATTTAGCATACATATTCGCTACGCTTTCAATAGCTAGACCAGATACTGTAACTGTAGCAATCTGCTGTGCTGGTCTTTTTCCTGGGCGATTAAATTCAAAGCTCCCAGCGGAGTAGACAAGCTCTAATCCAATGTGAAATTTGGAACGTCATTCCATTTGAGATGTTTATGGTGCTCTAGCTCAAACAGAGAAATCCACACCAATGGACCTTGATTCAATATATATATAGGCCAAAACAAGCTCAGAGCAGGCCATGTCAAAATGCAATCTCTCTATACTCCATAACACTGCCATATTATCTCCAATTGACAACATCCAGAAATGTACAGCATTGAATCTCTAAACCCAAGCATAGCCTATAATTACGTGCACACAAGCCATCTTCAGTTCAGAAAACAAGTCAAATCAAATTTTATTTGCCACATGCGCTGAATACAACAGGTGTAGACATTACCGTGAAATGCTTACTTACAGCCCTTAACCAACAATGCATTTATTTCTTAATAAAAAAGTAAAATAAAACAACAACAAATAGTGTTGAGAGAAAAAAAGAGCAGAAGTAAAACATATAACAGTAGGGAGTCTATATACAGGGGGGGTACCGGTGCCGAGTCAATGTGCGGTGGCACCGGCTTGTTGAGGTAATATGTACATGTGGGTAGAGTTAAAGTGACTATGCATAAATAATTAACAGAGTAGCAGCAGCGTAAAAAGATGGGGTGGGGGTGGGTGTGCACTGCAAATAGTTTGGGTAGCCATGATTAGCTGTTCAGGAGTCTTATAGCTTGGGGGTAGAAGCTGTTGAGAAGTCTTTTGGACCTAGACTTGGCACTCCGGTACCGCTTGCCATGCGGTAGCAGAGAGAACAGTCTATGACTAGGGTGGCTGGAGTCTTTGACAATTTTGAGGGCCTTCCTCTGACACCGCCTGGTATAGAGGTCCTGGATGGCAGGAAGCTTGCCCCCAGTGATGTATTGGGCCGTACGCACTACCCTCTGTAGTGCCTTGCGGTCGGAGGCCGAGCAGTTGCCATACCAGGTGGTGATGCAACCAGTCAGGATGCTGTCGATGGTGCAGCTGTAGAACTTTTTGAGGATCTGAAGACCCATGCCAAATCTTTTCAGTCTCCTGAGGGGGAATAGGCTTTGTCGTGCCCTCTTCACGACTGTCTTGGTGTGTTTGGACCATCTCAACCTGTTCCACTACAGCCCCGTCGATGAGAATGGGGGCGTGCTCAGTCCTCTTTTTTTCCCCTGTAGTCCAAAATCATCTCCTTTGTCTTGGTCACGTTGAGGGAGTGGTTGTTATCCTGGCACCACACGGCCAGGTCTCTGACCTCCTCCCTATAGGCTGTCTCATCGTTGTCGGTGATCAGGCCTACCACTGTTGTGTCGTCGGCAAACTTAATGATGGTGTTGGAGTCGTGCCTGGCCATGCAGTCATGGGTGAACAGGGAGTACAGGAGGGGACTGAGCACACACCCCTGAGGGGCCCCCATGTTGAGGTGTATTAATGCTGCATTAGTAGAAATTTTAATGATTCAGTAATATACATCAGTAAGCAGGATATCCAAGACAGTAAGTTAAGCAGGATAAAGCTTATTTGTTTCTTGCCACTGTTGTATGGATATGATGTGGTCCCAGATGGATCAGCTGATTCATGTGTCTGTCTCCAGACCCTCAGTGGGCGGCGTAAGGTAGTACAGTCATTTCTTTCTCTATCTCTCTCTATATAACTATCTTTCTCTCTCTTTATCCCTCTTTCTCTCCTCTCTATCTCTCTCTCTCTCTCCCCCTGTCTCTCTTGGTCTCCCTCTTTCTATCTATCTCTTCCTCTCTCCCAGCCTGTCCTGGCAACAATGGCACAATCAGCAGCTTTCACCCCCCCACCCAATCCCAGCCCAGCTGAGGAAAGCACTGCTGTCATTTGCAAGTCTGATTTCTCGGTCCTAACCTCAGCTCAAATGGTATAATTATATCCCAATCCGGAATGGAGATCCACATTCATTTGTTAATCAAATGCCTGAAAGGATAGGAGACCTCTCAATACCATATCCACATCCATAGTTATTCTGCTTGACTGATTTGAGATTATTTTACATTCCAATACACCAACGTTATCCTAAAGTCTTGCTATTATCCAAATACAACTACCCCTCGACAACTTGCTTGCGACTGGGTATTCTTGATGGACCTATCACAGCCTATTTATAGCTGTGAGTAAATTTGAAATATAAAGCAGTCACAGCACAGCATAATACCTTTATGGCCAGCTGAGCTCCCGGCTCAGGTTTCTTATGGTTTAATAGGAACACCCTCGTGTTGACTAACACTCGTTAAACATAAACTCAGCCCACAGCTCAATCAGCTAAGGCCATTACTCCCCTCCAACAGTAAGGTCCACAAACAGAGCTCTGCCGCAGGGCAAGGCCTAGGTCATGTTATCTGATTCAGCGTGACTGGTCCTTTTAGGACAGGGCTCAGACTGAGTCCCAATGTCCTTGTCACTGCACAGGCTGACTACAGCCATAGGCTATGTGATGACATCAAGTCTGACACACTGGTCTAATGGAAAGACATGTCTCTAAATGAAACCCTGGTTGCTTGATAGCTGAGAGAGAGAGGGAGACTTACTGTATGGCCAGTGTGTGGGAAGGAGAGAGCGGTTGCTTGGCCTTTAGGAAATATCTTAGAGGGCAACTTCCTCCTCTGTTCTCAGAAATGGTTCTCGCCTCTGTTCTCAGGAATGGATATCCTTCCCTGAAGTTTTTCTGACCCACTAAAATAATTAAGCTCCTTAGTTTTTTAGATTGAAAACATGAGCGAGGGGAAAAAAGCTGTAAGGCAGGCTACTTCTAAGAAACTGCTCTGTAGGAGGCCCACTCACTTTGGATCGTTGTGAAATCCTCTTAAAATATTAAGCTGTTAGCCCTCCAATATTTTTTCAGGCGCATACTTTAAATTTGATGTTAGAACGTTGTTTTGCAATTTGTACTCAACCTGTTTGACAAGATGAATGATAGATAGCTGGCTGAAAGTACTGTACAACCATATACCCCTATATCACTATATGTTATGTCATATATCATTGTCATGTAGCCTCCATTGACCAACCATTTGGTCGGAGGCAAACAGTCATAATTCTAATGTTATTAAATTATTTTATACAAAACTATCTGTTCATTACCAGCACATGATATAGTCCACACTGAGTACCCTAAAGGCAGTAAAACAAGAATAAGGTTTTTACATGTTGTTAAGTAGGATTCAGGTGCTACCTCTGTCATCTTGGGCATATGTCAAACAGCGCTGCAATTGGGTTTCAATGGTCCCTCTCAGCTCAAGATTGTGTGCAACAGCAAATATTGACACGTTAATTAAGCCACAACAATGAAGAGCCATGTTTATATAGACATAGGGACAGGTTTTATTCAAATGAAGAACTTTGCTTGTCAGTTGAACGACGCTAATGAAATTCAGCAAAATGTATTAATGGTTAGGCTATACGCTTCATACATTTTTCCTAATTAATTATTTTTTAAATAATTTTTGAACTTTTACTAATGCTCAATTCTGTGACATTTTCAGATGCGAATACTAGCCAACAGCTTCTAACCAACAGCTAGTGTTCTGTACTATACACACACAAGACCCAGGGTGGCTACCTGATCGCAGCGCTGCTTGACAAACACCCCAGTGTAACAGTGATGGCAGTGGGTAGCCCTTTGTGACAAAACGCCAACGTCATGTCTTTTACTCACTCTCTCTTGGTTGTTAGTTCTCTCCCACCTGCCCCCTTTCTACCTCCCCTTTCTGTTCAAATGGAGTGGATATCAGCCGAGTGCTACAACTAAATGTCTCAAGCGCAAGCGCTGCTCAGGTACTGTACGCCAGCCTTTTTTAAATCTCCTACATTATATCTGCTATACTCCCTCTCCCCTCTAGATCTTAGGTCTTGATTGAACTAGATCTTTGCTCACCCTTTTGAGCTCTCCCTAGAACTAAGCCCAGTTAGACACCCCAACCCGCTCTAGTAGAACTGGATCTAGATTAGACTCCTCCTCACTCCTTTAGTTTAAACTGGGCCTAGTCATTAGAATGTCCCCCTTTCTGTGTCCAAGAGTATGTCACTAGTACTGCTACTGCTTTCTGGACTTTTGGAGGATACCTGCAAGTCTTGCTCCGGTCTGTCTGTTAGTGGTGGTAGAGCTAAGTAAGTGGAGAGTCATTTAGCTAGTAACATCCTTCCATTCTCTCTAAATCCAAATAGGAAAACGATGGATCTGAGCTCAATAAGCTGGTTCTCCAAAAAGCCTCCCCTTCTCCGCCTCTCGTTCCCTCTAGCGGCGTGATCACATCTTAATGAACCTCCCCTATCACCACCACAGCTCTGAAGAGAATGAATAAAGCTCTTTTAGAGATGAGAGGCACCATTCAGGCCCCCATAGCACACTCTGTGCTCTGCAGTCTGCACTGTGAGCTCCAGCATTGCCTCAATGGATGGAATAACTCTGCTCCTCTATTGCTGGCAATAGGAGTCTCTGCACTGTCTTCAGCACCCTAGAGTAGGGGTAGGCAACTAGATTCAGCCGAGGGACAATTTTTTTTATTTTATTAGTAGGAGTACTTGGGAACAGATTTCCTCAATTAAACTCATTTTTAGCTGAATTCATGATTTGTCTTTTGACCAAAAACTAAAATCCCCCCCTTTCAAAGAACTGTGGGGGGCTGGATCACTCGCGGGCCGGTTTTGGCCCACTGTCCGACTGTTGCCGACCCCTGCCCTAGGGCCACACTTCAGTTAAACTAACCCCAGTATACACACACAGTAGGTTGCAATCCGGTAACCTGGAAAGACCTGGGTTGCATTCAGCAGGCACAAAACATTCTCTACCATTTCGTGCTTAGTGAATGTGACCCTAGTGTCCTAGCATTGAGAGTAGTGTACTCCCTCTGTGGCTCTCTACATGGTGTTGAACCCTTCAGAGGCTAGGAACATATCTAAGATGTTTGGCAGACCCTAGTTAGGCATTGCTTGTAATTGTCACACTAACTCTCCCATGCCAATTTAGAGACAATACTGCTCTGAGCTAGCATCCTAACAATAACACTGTTTTAACACGACAGTAATTAATTTGAGGAAAGCAGCTTTGCCCTTGTTTAGTGGCATAATGCCCTACCTCAGGAACAAAGCTACAAGAGGCTCTCTCTCGCTCTCTTGTCTTTCTCTCTGTCTTTCTCTCTCACTCTAGTTATAGCTCTTGGTCTCTCACACGGTCTCTAAATCTATCTACAACTTTTTCTCCCTCTTCCCTCGTCCTCCCTTGCTCTCCGGGGCATAGTTGGAAAGCCTCCCATGTAAACCTCTTAACCTCTCTGTGGCTGACTGTTAGATCCTCTGGTGTGCTTTGATCCAGGCTTCCCCCTCTTCCCCTCGCTGCCCTGCTCTGCTCTGCTCTGCCTTGCCCTGGCCTGGGATCCACTGTAAAACAGGATGCTGTCTCTGAGAAGCTTGTCCATCTCATTTCCCTTCTCATTTGGCAACATGAGCACCTTCCTCATTCCCTACCCAGTCAGCCATGATTTATTTATTCCTATGGCTGGCTAATGGGGAAGACTGAGTACCTCCTGTCTCCTCAAGACATCATATTTTACAGTGGACTCAGAGTAGGTGTAGGCTAAGTGGTGAGGTTCTGTCTTTCCCTACTGTACTTCTCCGGTCATTAGAACGGATCATTCTATCCCTGCTGCCCGCCGCCGCTTCTGTAGAGTACTGTAGTAAGATGATGTACAGTAGTGTGGTATAGTGATGGTTGTCAATTCCATATAAATTCACCTCCTGAATCGGCTGAATTGAAGTGGAATTGATCCCTATCTTTGTGTGATACTTGTTGTGAAGCATGCGTGTTATCCCAAGTGATTTCCAATGATAAATGAAAACGTGCTACTCTAACCCGGTGAAAAGTTCTGCAATACTGAAAAATCTTTACCCTCAGGTCTTCCAATGCAATAAATTCTTATGACCATCGACTGGATTGAGTTTTCTTTTTACTTTGTCTAAAGCTTCTTGGTTGGGATTCAGTCCCATCCCTTCTACACATCCCTCCTCTCTTAAGCCCCAATGGGTTACATCTCCTAAATGGAAACCAATTCCACGCGGTCCACCAGCTAACACAGCTTCTTCTTCATGGGTTAACTCCTGAGCTCCTGCTTGTCATTCCATTAAGCCATTTTGGATCATTAGGCCTCTGAGGGGCCCTGAATGGAGACTGATCAACCGGAGCATCCATGACTGCTCCTCAATCCTCACTTCGCTGATGAGATTAGAACAGGGACGCCCTGCTTTACCCCTCCACAATGTGACTCACAGAAACACTGTTCTATTCTCCCCTGTTGGTTCTACAACCCTTTTCTCAGATGCCTCCTATTAGGAGGTGGAAAGATGAAGAGAACGAGGGGGAAGGAAGGGAAGAAGAGCTGATTTTCAGGCTTTGATGTCCCCTACTCTGTAGATTGGACTAAACTGACTGCATTAGTTAATAGTTTGCTGAACACCTGCTGAGTGTTTGCAGAGCATTAACAAGCTAATGCACCAGCAGTAATCTGGACAGGAGCGAGTGCTCTGGAGACAGAGTGATACCAGCGTGAGCCCTGCAAAATGACCTCCAGCAGGCCACAAATGTGCATGTGTCTGCTCAAACGGTCAGAAACAGACTCCATGAGGGTGGTATGAGGGCCCGACGTCCACAGGTGGGGGTTGTGCTTACAGCCCAACACCGTGCAGGACGTTTGGCATTTGCCAGAGAACACCAAGATTGGAAAATTCGCCACTGGCGCCCTGTGCTCTTCACAGATGAAAGCAGGTTCACACTGAGCACATGTGACAGACGTGACAGAGTCTGGAGACGCCGTGGAGAACGTTCTGCTGCCTGCAACATCCTCCAGCATGACCGGTTTGGTGGTGGGTCAGTCATGGTGTGGGGTGGCATTTCTTTGGGAGGCCGCACAGCCCTCCATGTGCTCGCCAGAGGTAGCCTGACTGCCATTAGGTACCGAGATGAGATCCTCAGACCCCTTGTGAGACCATATGCTGGTGCGGTTGGCCCTGGGTTCCTCCTAATGCAAGACAATGCTAGACCTCATGTGGCTGGAGTGTGTCAGCAGTTCCTGCAAGAGGAAGGCATTGATGCTATGGACTGGCCCGCCCGTTCCCCAGACCTGAATCCAATTGAGCACATCTGGGACATCATGTCTCGCTCCATCCACCAACGCCACGTTGCACCACAGACTGTCCAGGAGTTGGCGGATGCTTTAGTCCAGGTCTGGGAGGAGATCCCTCAGGAGACCATCCGCCACCTCATCAGGAGCATGCCCAGGCGTTGTAGGGAGGTCATACAGGCACGTGGAGGCCACACACACACTACTGAGCCTCATTTTGACTTGTTTTAAGGACATTACATCAAAGTTGGATCAGCCTGTAGTGTGGTTTTCCACTTTAATTTTGAGGGTGACTCCAAATCCAGACCTCCATGGGTTGATACATTTGATTTCCATTGATAATTTTTGTGTGATTTTGTTGTCAGCACTTTCAACTATGTAAAGAAAAAAGTATTTATTAAGATTATTTCATTCATTCAGATCTAGGATGTGTTGTTTAAGTGTTCCCTTTATTTTTTGAGCAGTGTATATATTTTTAACCCTTTAGTGTGTGTACTTTACTGTATTTGTACTTGGGATATCACTTTTCAACAGTAAACGTTTTTTAAAACGCTGGAGGACGTCTTTTAATGTCCACCTCTCCTAGGAATCCTTTTGTCCTGGACTCTTGAACGCTGTCCTTTTAATCCCTCCTGATTGGCTCTAAGCACCGCAGGGTTTGGTCTGGACCAATGCCGAAGTACCCTGTCACCTCTTCACGTACTGTACCATACAGTACGTCTGAAATGGCAATCAAACCTCAATGTGACCGGCTCACCCCAGTCAACCGGTTTCATTTATCGTTCATGTTTTCACTCTTACTTGCCCTGTTGCTGTTGCCCACTAGGATAAAGATGGTGAAATCTAATATAGTCCTCTGTATAGCCCATCCACAGTGGTGATCGAGCTTACCATAGAGACCCAATTGGGAATTGTGTGGTACAATATTATCTCACAATCTACTGTAAACAGTCAATGACACCCAAGCAATCAATGGGCGGGTAAGAGTTGAAATATGCAGACTTTGTGAACCTGTGTGCTTCTTCAATATGTTATTTTCTGGTTCTCAAGTGACGCTCTGCAGATCAATGCCCTAGTCTGTATTTGATCGAGCGCTAGACTAGACCAAACTTTCTCCTTGTTGAGTTGGATGTAAAATTAGGAATTTGTAAATCACAATTTTGATGAGTGTATTTTCTGTCTCTCCCCCTGCATTCGTTCATCTTTCCTCTTGTCCTTTTTCTGCTTGCTCTCACCTCTCATTCCCGCTTCATTTCTTTCCAATTTCTTCATCCCTTCTTCCTCCATTTTTTCCCCTTCCTCCCTTTCCTACTTCTCTAACCCTCCCCTCCCTCCCTCTCTCTCTTCCCCCTCTGCAGCTGTCCACAGTTTGAAATTGAGTCGTACCCACGTGGACTGGCACAGTGTGGACGAGGTCTACCTCTACAGCGATGCCACCACATCCAAGATCGCCCGCACCGTCACCCAGAAACTGGGCTTCTCCAAAGGTTAGAGGTCACTGACTGACTGCCCACTTTTCTGTTGAACCCCTCCTCCCCTTCACCACCCCAATATCAAGTCAACCTCTAGCTAGCCACAACCTCCTCGGCCACTTGTGGGGATTGGAGAGGTGTAAGCAGCCAGCTCCATATTTTCATCCCCAGTCGGAGGAGATTAAGAGGTGGATCTGGCATGAGTTCTCAATCTCTTCTGACTGACACACACAAATCCACTGCCGCTGGAAATCTCCTTAGTGCTGTGCCGGCCAGACAGCAAGCAGCAAATCCTATTTCCCTAGTGTGTAGAGCTGGGGTTCTCAAAGTGGGGTCAGCAGACCCCTGAGGGGTCCGCGGCCAGATACAAATAAAATGTTACAAAAAGGGACAAGGGATCCGTGGATTAAGTTTAGAGGGTGTAATACAATACAATATAATATTATTAATCTACAATGTATGTTTTTAACCCTGGGTGACATGGGCCTGGGAGGCTCACAGGGATATTGGTATCCACAGTACTCTACCAGTTATACATTTTTGCAACTCAATACTTTTCATATTCCCCCTATTATATATATTTTTCTTTCATAAATGCACTGTAATTTAAGCTTTAAAACTGCAATGTTTTCTCTCTGCCTCATGGCAAAATGTGTAGAATTGCAGGATATTAGCTTTAAAGCTGCAACAACAAAAAATCTCTGCCCCATGACAGAATGTGGGCCTTTAAATTGTTCCTTCCCAGGGCCCGAGACTTGGTTAGTCCGGCCATGCACTGCCGAAGTCATAGTAAAACTCCTTGTATGCTATTTTTTATCTCACTCGAGTTGTGTTCTGATTGAGGGGGTCCCTGATTAATTTACTATCACAAAAGGGGATCCCGACCCCAAATAGTTTGAGAACCCTGGTGTAGAGTAGTGTTAGCACAGGAAGCCAGCTCTGAACAAGGCCACACATGCAGCCTGAGCCACAGACACAGCGGGAGGCCTAGAGTTTCCTACTGCCCCTGTAAACTCAGTCACCTTATTGCTACTTTGAAATATAGGATGGCCTAGGATGTTCATCACCATAACCATATGCATGTTGTGTGGTCAATTAATTGTAGCCTCTGTGAAATGTAATTTCACGATTGAGGCTATCAAGCCTTAATCATGAATCAAGATTTTACTCATATTGAACACAAGCGAACAAATGCTGATGAGCAAAACATTGTTGGAATTTGTTGGGCAATGTGCAGCCACCCAGTATGTTGATATTTTCCTGACGCTGTCCCCCTCTCCACCGCCTGTTAACCCCGTCTCCATCCCCTGTACCCTCTGTAGCCTCCAGCAGTGGTACACGGCTCCACCGGGGCTATGTGGAGGAGGCCTCCTTGGAGGACAAGCCCCCCCAGACCACACACATCGTGTTTGTGGTCCACGGCATTGGACAGAAGATGGACACAGGACGCATCATCAAGAACACTGGCATGTGAGTGCTCTCTCGTTTACTGTGTATGCATATTATAGTTATTCTACTGGGCGACATGGTGCTGCCAACATCGTGGAGGGTCATGTGTTGATCTCTGTATATCTATGGCTATGAAATAACATGGTATGCATCCCAAATGGCCCTATTGACCATGGTCAAAAGTAGTGCGCTATAAAGGGAACAGTGGGCCATTTGGGACATAGCCATGTTGTTTTTTCCACTGTGTGTGGAGAGACTGTGGGCCAGCTTGATATACTGTGTGATTATGTACAGTGAGGAAAAAAAGTATTTGATCCCCTGCTGATTTTGTACGTTTGCCCACTGACAAAGACATGATCAGTCTATCATTTTAATGGTAGGTTTATTTGAACAGTGAGAAACAGAATAACAACAAATAAATCCAGAAAAACGCATGTCAAAAATGTTATAAATTGATTTGCATTTTAATGAGGGAAATAAGTATTTGACCCCTCTGCAAAACATGACTTAGTACTTGTTGGCAATCACAGAGGTCAGACGTTTCTTGTAATTTGCCACCAGGTTTGCACACATCTCAGGAGGGATTTTGTCCCACACCTCTTTGCAGAACTTCTCCAAGTCATTAAGGTTTTGAGGCTGACGTTTGGCAACTTGAACCTTCAGCTCCCTCCACATATTTTCTATGGGATTAAGGTCTGGAGACTGGCTAGGCCACTCCAAGACCTTAATGTGCTTCTTCTTGAGCCACTCCTTTGTTGCCTTGGCCATGTGTTTTGGGTCATTGTCATGCTGGAATACCCATCCACGACCCATTTTCAATGCACTGGCTGCGGGAAGGAGGTTCTCACCCAAGATTTGATGGTACATGGCCCCATCCATCGTCCCTTTGATGCGGTGAAGTTGTCCTGTCCCCTTAGCAGAAAAACACCCCCAAAGCATAATGTTTCCACCTCCATGTTTGACGGTGGGGATGGTGTTCTTGGGGTCATAGGCAGCATTCCTCCTCCTCCAAACACGGCGAGTTGAGTTGATGCCAAAGAGCTCGATTTTGGTCTCATCTGACCACAACACTTTCACCCAGTTCTCCTCTGAATCATTCAGATGTTCATTGGCAAACTTCAGACGGGCCTGTATATGTGCTTTCTTGAGCAGGGGGACCTTGTGGGCGCTGCAGGATTTCAGTCCTTCACAGCGTAGTGTGTTACCAATTGTTTTCTTGGTGACTATGGTCCCAGCTACCTTGAGATCATTGACAAGATCCTCCCGTGTAGTTCTGGGCTGATTCCTCACTGTTCTCATGATCATTGCAACTCCACGAGGTGAGATCTTGCATGGAGCCCCAGGCCGAGGGAGAATGACAGTTATTTTGTGTTTCTTCCATTTGCGAATAATCGCACCAACTGTTGTCACCTTCTCACCAAGCTGCTTGGCGATGGTCTTGTAGCCCATTCCAGCCTTGTGTAGGTCTACAATCTTGTCCCTGACATCCTTGGAGAGCTCTTTGGTCTTGGCCATGGTGGAGAGTTTGGAATCTGATTGATTGCTTCTGTGGACAGGTGTCTTTTATACAGGTAACAAGCTGAGATTAGGAGCACTCCCTTTAAGAGTGTGCTCCTAATCTCAGCTCGTTACCTGTATAAAAGACACCTGGGAGCCAGAAATCTTTCTGATTGAGAGGGGGTCAAATACTTATTTCCCTCATTAAAATGAAAATCAATTTCTAACATTTTTGACATGCGTTTTTCTGTATTTTTGTTTTGTTATTCTGTCTCTCACTGTTCAAGTAAACCTACCATTAAAATTATAGACTGATCATGTCTTTGTCAGTGGGCAAACGTACAAAATCAGCAGGGGATCAAATACTTTTTTCCCTCACTATGTATACGGGTAAGAGTCTAGCTTCATTTTCAGATATTAGACGTGAGACATTTCTAATTTTGTCAAAGTTGTTTTCATTGCAAGTTAATGCGTACTGTTAGCTAGCTAGCTAACGATAGCTGGCTGGCTCGCTAGCTAACGTTACATGTATGATCTGTGTAGTAATAATACAATTTATTATTCGTATCTCAGAAGGCCATTTGCATTGCTAGTTATAGCCTAATGTTAGCTAGCTAGCTAACATTGAACCTAGTTGTTTCACTTTAGCTACCTGCAGATTTATGCATGGTAGTATTGCCGAGTTGAAAACAACAGGGAACTCTGAAAAGTTCGAAGTCAAATCATCACGTCAGTGATCTTCATGTCGGAAAGTAGGAGCTCTAGAAAGAGGCCTGAGTTCTTGCGTTCGAATTCCGAGTTGCATGACCGTTCAAATCTATTTTTCCCAGTCTGAGCTCGTTTTTTTCGAGTTCCCAATTGTTTTGAAATCGGCATTATTTGGGATTATGGTTAATTTTTTAGCTAGCTCGCTAGCTAGCTACATGTCTAAACAAAAGTCTCCACTATGCAAGTAACCATTTCACTGTACCGTTTACACCTTCTGTATCCTGTGCATGTGACAAATAAACTTTGATTTTATTTGATATAGTGTGTTTTTACCAGAGACAGTAATGTGGAGAACAACATGACCTGCACCAAAGTCAGATTAGGATATAGGCCAAGGTCTAGATAGTGTATTTTTACTACTACTTTTTGCTACTACTTTCACTCTTAGTCTTGACATTTTTGGTTGTTTACTACACTACCTTATTCACTCTGTTAAGCACATGGCCTCATGTGAATCCTTAAAGAGATGGGTGGGGCTAAGGCTTAAGAATGTGTGAACAATGCTGAATGGGTGTAGACAAAGAAGAGCTCTCCAGTAGGTGTACCAAAACATTCACGGGCCATTTTCTCAAAAGTGGGGTTACAAGTTTAGCAACTTTCAAAGCAGAATTACTTCCCCATTGTTCCTCAACTGCTAGCTCTGAGTCTCTACTTTTATCCAATGTAAAAAAAAAAAATAACAATTTCAAATATGACCGTATCCAGGTGGTGGGTCACATTTGTCTTCTCCCTTCTCCATCTCTATCTTTGATTTCTCGCTCGCCTTCTACCACCTACTCTCTCTTTCCACCTCTCTCTCCACCTTCCCTATCTCTACCTTCCCTCTCTATCTCTATCTTTTGTGTTCTCCCTCGTTCGCGTTCTGCTTTCTTAAAAGGCTGACCTTACACTTTCAATAGGAGATTTACTTGATTACTGTGAGGAGACCAGATGATCTCTTTAGCGGTGACTGGTAATGACAGGGCACGAGACACACATACACACACTTTTTGGGATTAGACCCTGCTTGTACAAGACTCACAACAGTTAATCATTCATTTCTGACATTAAATACCTGGTAATGATTTTTTGAATGGAGTGCATTTCACACTCTTATAAATGTATTTTCTATGAGTCATTTAAGTGATGATGCATTTGGGTTGACATTTTCAAACAATACAAAAAATATGCTGCTGGCATTTATGTATTTTCTTGCACTTCAATAAATATTAATCTGTACTTACAGTCCTGTGTGATTACAACTTTTAAGGCCTATTCTAGGTACCCAGACAAAGGACAGACCTACTTATAGCTCTCTAGTTCTGTATATACAGTGCCTTTGGAAAGTATTCAGACCTTGACATTTTGTTAGGTTCCAGCCTTATTCTAAAATTGATTTAATTGTTTTTTTCCCCCTCATCAATCTACACACAAAACCCCATAATGACAAAGCAAAAACAGGTTTTTAGACATTTTTGCTAATTTATTCAAAATAAAAAATGGAAATATACATTTACATAAGTATTCAGACCCTTTACTCAGTACTTTGTTGAAGCACCTTTGGCAGCGATTACAGCCTCAAGTATTCTTGGGTATGACGCTGCAAGCTTGGCACACCTGTATTTGGGGGGTTTCTCCCATTCTTCTCTGCAAATCCTCTCAAACTCTGTCAGGTTGGATGAGGAGCGTCGCTGCACAGCTATTTTCAGGTCTCTCCAGAGATGTTTGATCGGGTTCAAGTCCGGGCTCTAGCTGGGCCACTCAAGGACATTCAGAGACTTGTCCTGAAGCCACTCCTGCGTTGTCTTGGCTGTGTGCTTAGGGTCGTTGTCCTGTTGGAAGGTGAACCTTTGCCCCAGTCTGAAGTCCTGAGCGCTCTGGAGCAGGTTTTCATCAAGGATCTCTGTACTTTGCTCCGTTCAATCTTGGTTTCATCAGACCAGAGAATCTTGTTTCTCATGGTCTGAGAGTCTTTAGGTGCCTTTTGGCAAACTCCAAGCGGGCTGTCATATGCCTTTTTACTGAGGAGTGGCTTCCGTCTGGCCACTCTACCATAAAGGCCGGATTGGTGGAGTGCTGCAGAGATGGTTGTCCCTCTGGAAGGTTCTCCCATCTCCACAGAGGAACTCTGGAGCTCTATCAGAGTGACCATCGGGTTCTTGGTCTCCTTCCTGACCAAGGCCCTTCTCCCCTGATTGCTCAGTTTGGCCAGGCGACCAGCTCTAGGAAGAGTCTTGGTGGTTCCAAACTTCTTCCATTTAAGAATGATGGAGGCCACTGTGTTCTTGGGGACCGTCAATGCTGCAGACATTTTTTGGTACCCTTCCCCAGATCTGTGCCTCGACACAATCCTGTCTCGGAGCTCTACGGACAATTCCTTCGACCTCACGGCTTGGTTTTTGCTCTGACATGCACTGTCAACTGTGGGACCTTTATATAGACAGGTGTGTGCCTTTCCAAATCATGTCCAATAAATTGAATTTACCACATGTGGACTCCAAGTTGTAGAAACATCCTCAAGGATGATCAATAGAAACAGGATGCACCTGAGCTCAATTTTGAGTCTCCTAGCAAAGGGTCTGAATACTTTTTAATAAACTAGCAAAAATGTCTAAACCTATTCACTTTGTCATTATGGGGTATTGTGTGTAGATTGCTGATTTTAAACAAAAATCCATTTTAGAATAAGGCTGTAACGTAACAAAATGTGAAAAAAAGTAAAGGGGTCTGAATACTTTCCGAAGGCACTGTGGTCTAGAAGGTTCCGGAATAACACAACTGCCCAAGGCCGGCCCTATACAGTAACACAGAGTGTGCTGTCCCTCTCTCTGCCAGGGGCTTAGGGACGCTTAGCAGGTAGCTAAAGTAGACCAAGTCAGGCCAGCCCCAACTGTAAGCCTCATTCCCTACACTGCTAGGATCAGGCTATTGGCCTTCTCTCAAGCCTCAATAGGAAAGATCTGCCACGTCTAGCTATCTGTCTTCCTGTTCTCTCTCTCTTCCCTTTTTCTCTCTACCTTTCAATTGAACTCTCTCTAGAGGCTTGGCTGTGTTTCACTCTCAAGCAACACTCAAACACTTTCAATCGACATCATCGTTCCTTTCTTTCTCTCAGCCATCCACCCCACTTCTTCTGTATCTTCAATTCTCTCTTCCCCTATCTCTTCTTCCATACTTCTCCTCTCCAATAGGAATAATGACTGCTTGTTCTGAGTGGCAGGGCATTAAGGACAGCCTCTCGGTATGATCCTCTTCATGTGTCAGAAGGGGTTTGTGTTAATACCATTAAAGCCAGTACTGCGACCCCGTTCACCAGTTAGCCACTCGAGATAAACTCTGCTTGCCAACGATAGGTGACCTAGCCTCTAAACATAAAAGCCCACCAGACAGACTGCATGATAGACTGCATTAGCACTAGGCAGCGTCACAGACCATTTCACCTTAAGGCCAAAGTCTCTCCCCGGTCGCCCTGTTATGTCAACAGCAGCCACTCTAATTTTGTGTGTAGCTAACGTAGTAAGCTAACGTAGGCTGCTAGCAGCCATTGTGAGTGAATGGACTGCGTCAGTGAGTGATGAAATGGATGCACGTCAGTCCTCTCAAACATGCACAGTCAAAAGTGAAAGGGAGAGCAAACACAAGGCACAAAGGATTCCCTGGTGTGGACCATTTTGTAAAGCCATTCATTCACCCAGCAGTAATGTCGTACCAGTAACAACCTACTGCGAGGATGATTGCTCGCGATGAAATGTGTTGATGTTGGTATGTTTGTATCTGTTAGTGTATTTTTTTTTAATTTCACAAAGCATTAGGAAATGTATTAAACGCTAGCTAGAGAATGACAATTTTTAAGACCGACACTCAAGAGACAATCCTTATGCACATAGCAATTATGTTGTGTGTGTGTGTCCAGGCTAAGGGAGGCAGTAAGGAAGATGGAGGAGAAGCACTTTTCAGAGCACACAGAGGAGCACGTGGAGTTCCTGCCTGTAGAGTGGCGCTCCAAACTGGCACTGGATGGGGGTAAGGTTAAGGCTTGTGTGTGTATTGTGTGTCTGTTCTGAGTTGTATGTTTGTATGTGGTCTTGTTCTATCCTCGTGGGGACTTAACACAAGGATAGTAAAACAAGGAAAATTCTCCCTTGTGGGGACTTTAGGTCCCCACGAGGACAAAGGCTATTTTAAACTTAGGGGTTAGGGTTAGAATTAGGGTAGTTAGGTTTGGGTTAGGGAAAATAGGATTTTCAATAGAAATCAATTTTAGGTCTCCACAAGGATAGAAAAACAAAGTGTGTGTGTGTTCCATGTGCTGTCCTCTACACTACTGCTGTGCTGTCTCCTACTCCCTCTAATTTCCTAATATGTCTGTGATGCACATAGTATTCTATAGCTTTACTGTTTTAGCCAAGTGAATAGAAGGTGATTTATTAATCTGAATGTAATAGATTAATAAAAATATAGAGGCTAAACAAAGGCTTTCCCATAAAGAAATACTTAAATATATCTTGATGGTATTGATGGTTGAATCGTGTGTGTCTTCCTGCAGATACAGTGGACTCCATCACCCCAGACAAGGTGCGAGGACTGAGAGACCTGCTCAACAGCAGTGCCATGGACATCATGTACTACACCAGCCCCTTGTACAGGGATGAGGTGAGACCGAAACACACACACACAGTGGGTTTAAGCCCTCAAATCTCACTTGACGTCTGTATTGGCCCTGGTTAATTGACAACACCCTCCTCTCACCTTCTCTTTATCTCCAGATCACCAAGGGCCTGACGTCGGAGCTGAACCGCCTCTACACCCTGTTCTGCTCGAGGAACCCTGAGTTTGAGGAGAAGGGGGGCAAGGTGTCCATCGTGTCTCACTCCCTGGGCTGCGTGATCACCTTTGACATCATGACAGGCTGGGACCCGGTGAGGTTCTGTCTGCAGGAGCACCAGGAGCTGGAGGAGGAGCTAGACCTGAGATGGGTCTCTTACGAGGAGAGACTCCTGCTGGAGCAGCTGCAGCTCACCAGGAACAGGTAGGCAGGGTGGTGGGTCATGGGAGGAATGGGATGGGTGTCTGTGTTACGGTTGAGAGGGCTATCTAGACTGTGTCTAGAGACAGCTAGGGTGTCTGTAGGAAGGTGTGGTGTGAGTGTTTTGTTAATGGTCTGAATACTACAGTAACAGTATTACTCAAATCCCCCCTCTCCTCCTCAGGTTACGAGAGCTGGAGGATCAACTTCAAGGCCTGGAAGCCTCCAAACCGCTAGCACCCCCTGCTCTTAAATTTAAGGTACAGTCTGCTAACTGCTCAAAAGAAATCACCCAGGACACAGAACTCAAGATGTTAATGGAAGAAAGTAACAAGATGACTAGCAAAGATTTGAAGGAAGTATGGTGTCTATTTCCTCATCTTCCCCAGGTGGAGAACTTCTTCTGTATGGGCTCTCCCCTGGCAGTGTTCCTGGCCCTGAGAGGGATTAGACCAGGGAACAGTGGAGAACAGGACCACATTCTGCCTCGCTCCATCTGCCAGAGGCTCTTCAACGTCTTCCACCCCACGGATCCCGTGGTGAGACACAGACAGACAAGACAGACAGACAGGACACGACACGACACGACAGATGCCCTTCACCAGGGCTATTCTATTACAGTATTGGAGGGCTGAAACATTGGGTAGTTGTTTCTACCGGGTAGTTGATTGCATTCTAAATCAGTCCCTTGATTTAGAGTGGAAAAGTGTAAAACCAGCCTCGAGGGCCAAATTTGAATAGCCCTGTCCTACCCCTCACCTCTCATTGCCTCTGAGCCTTGATCGTCTTATGGATGATTAGACCGAGGGATTTTTCCTGACCAGAGGAAAGATCGGGTGCTAGACTGACTGTGTGATTGGTTTGTCCCTCCTGCAGGCCTACAGACTGGAGCCCCTCATCCTTAAACATTACAGCAACATTGCACCTGCACAGATACACTGGTAAGAGTTCACAAAGTTAATTCATTCTCATGTTACATATAAACTTGTGAAACTACTACTTACTGTATGGACAGTGACATGTGTTTTTCTTCTCCTAGGTGTAGTGCTATAGACCCCACGCCGTACGATGAGATCCGTCCCACGTTCATCAACCCGCAGAAGGACCCGACGTCGGACACAGATAGCATCCCCAGCCCCTCCACCTCCCCTGTCCTGGCCAGGAAATACTATGGAGAGTCCATCGCCAGCATGGGCAAGGCCAGCATACTAGGTGCGTCTGTCAGTCATCTGGTTGATCCTCTTTATAGAACCTTGTTGCCTCAAATCACCATGCATGTTGCATGCACATTATAATGACATTCAATTCTTAAGTATGAGTGCCTTCGTAACCTGTGCACATGACGCAGATTCAAACTCGGGGTGGTCCAAAGCTAGAAGGGAAAGAATTAAACTTCATTGTAAGATTACCTCACTCAGCAGGTTCTCATAGATTTTACATCCAGTCATTTGTACAGCAGATATTCATAGACAGCACAACATGTCCTGAGCAGACAAAGCTGGTGGTTCCATTTAAATGTACGTCAGCATGTACCCAGTATGTTGTGATGGAGTTGACATCTATTATTGGACTCACTCTACAGTATTTCTATCACAGACCCACCTGACTGATCATTGGAGATGACACTGGTAACACTGCCATCTTGTGGAGAGCGCATGTAAAGACCGGAGCTGTAGTACTGGGTCTACTTCACTCACCTTTGTCGCAACCTGTGTCTAAAATTAAGCCTTTGCTGTTTCTCTCTTTCTATCTCTCTCTCTCTCTCTCTGTGTCTAGGAGCGGCCAGTATCGGTAACAGTATAGGGAAGGGAATAGGAGGGATCCTGTTCTCTCGGTTCTCCCGCTCTGCGCCCTCCGGGGTGTCCTGTGCCATCGAGGCCGGGACCCCAGAGGGGGAGGAGCCGAAGAGGACCATCGACAGCCAATCAGCTTACGGCCTGTCGTCCACCTTGTCCCAGTCCCCCTCCACCCTCATAGACCATTCAGGTTAGTTCAGCTACATTTCAACCCATTGTTTTGAGTTTTTAAAAATACAGTTTCAGGAATAATTGTATTGAAATCTATGTAATAACAAGTGCCCTTTCGTAATATCTCCCACCCCTTTCAACCCCCCCCAAAAGAGAGAAGGAATACATCATGCTAATTCACATCAATAAGAGTGCTTGACTGTTGCAAGCCACTGTCCATATTAACTGTTAAGTACCCTTTTTGAATGTGTAGTAGTTAGGCCTATGCAGTACACAGTAGTTAGTCTAAAATGTATTCTCACAGTGAGTCTCTTTGTTCTACAGTGGAAATGGAGCGCCGCATCGACTTTGAACTCCGTGAGGGCCTTGTGGAGAGCCGCTATTGGTCTGCGGTGACCTCTCATACAGCCTATTGGGTCTCACATGATATTGCGCTATTCCTACTGACGTTCATATATAAGCAAGCCAAAGTGCCAGACGCCACAGACAGTCCTGACCCAGAGTAAACGCACAGAGAGAGACTCTTATCATGTCCACACTCACACATAGCATCTTTATTACCCTCTGTTACTCCACTCTCTCTAACTATTTTTATGCTAACACACAGACCTCCTTTCGCACTGTTTAGGATGGATACACACTCACCCAAGGGTGACACATTGGATTATGGCCCCCTAAGGGGGTGCAGCCTGCCTGTCACTGTGATGACCAGTCCCATTGCATGCTCCGTGAAGCATGGGGGCAGAGTAGGATCCTCTATGTATCCTCCCAGCCAGTCCAGCCGCCAACGAGTATGTCAGAGATTCCATTGCACACTACCGAAGGGTTCTCCTCTTCCTCTTAAGATCAGTCTCTGTCTGAAACTGCTGCCCTCCCGGATGTACCAATCTCCTACTCCCCCTATGTGTAGCAGCCATGGTTCAGCCCAACCCAAAGCTCGCCTCTCCTCCACAGACTCTCCATGGAGCTGTGGGACGCACAAGCCATCCTGGACCCCTCAGTAACCTCCCTCACCCACACTGGTCTGTATCTTCTTACCCTGAGTTAAGTTTCCATCGATAAGGACTTGGGCTGGATACTGGTACACTCAAATAATGGAAAGACTTATGAAGGAAATAAAATGTGTGTAGCTTCGTCTCAAAACGTATGTTACTGTCTGAGCAAACTCAATGCAACTTTCAAAGGGGTCTAAATGTTATTTCTATAATAGAATGTTAATATATTTCCCTAAGAAAATAATACGACAGTTTGTTTTAGAAATGTAAAGAAGGGGGAGACGAACTTGTCTGGTTTTTATTCGGATATTCCACGAGGATGCTGTACGAGTTAGTGTTCCTTCTTTTCATTACCATTTGACCATCGAGTGACTTTTACGAAGAAGTAACAATCGACAGTAGTGTGCATAATCCTCACACAAAGTTCTGCAAAAAGCCATTTTTGTAAATGTAATTTTCGTTTTTTTTATACAACAAAGTGATTAGATGACGTATAACAGCATTACCTTATGTCTTTGGTTTTAGTAACTGAGTGGTGCTGTGTGGCAAACTTTGTTTTCTTTGAGGTACATTTGATCGTCTCATCTTTGGCTCCAGAGAGTGAGTGACACCGGCTTGACTTTCACTTGATGTTCAGATGACGTTCACACAATGTTAGCAGGACATTCAAGTGACACAGACATACGTCCATGTGAAAGTCAAGCATGGTGAGTGTAATTTTGCCTATAGCCAGCCTTGACCAGTAACTTACCTTATTGTCATTAAATGTAATTTAGTTTATCTTTTAGTCACCCAGAAGCAATGTTAGGTCCCTGTATGGAGCTCTGAAATGTACCCTCCATTTTATGTTACAGAGCAACTTTTCAATCTAACCAAAACACAGGTGAAAACAGTTCTGTTCAGATGGATAGTCTGAAGTCTGATTTGATCCTAATGTATGCAATTCAAGAGTCCAATCAAAAGAGAGATCATGTCAATGCTTCATTTTGTGGTTGGATGGAGGAGCTGTCACTCACAGGTTTGAGCCAGTAGAAACTCCTAAGAAACCTTGAGAAGGTTATAAACAGGAAGTGACCTTCAAGCACTAAAATATTTACATTAATACCCAGATCAATAAAATAGAAAGAGGATGTATATATTTTTTAATCCAATTTATTTTTCATGATCATTTTCAAATGTATAGTAGTGTTAACATAGATCCCTTAAAGGTCCAATTCAGCCGTTTTATCTCAATCAAATCATTTCTAGGTAAAAATGTAAATGGTCATAAAGAAACAAAAAAAGCTTCTTAGCAAAGAGCAATTTCTCAAGCAATAATTTGGCTAGGACTGTCTGTGAGTGGTCTGAGTGGGGAGGGGAAAACAGAAAACTATCTGTTATTGGCAGAGAAGTTTGGAACTCTTTTTTTTAATGGACTATTAACTAATTTACCGCCTGGTGATGTCACCAGGTAAGCCAAAACTCCAACCAACCAAAACGGGCAGAAGTCTTTTCAAACTGCTCTTACACTAACAGGGCATTATCATCGTTTTAAAAATGTCCTACCTCATAGTGTGGAAATGTGTATATAAAATTAATTAAGTTTTGACTGCACTGGGCCTTTAAGGGAACAGGGAATCCAGCAGGTAGCCAAATATCTCTAAATGATACTAAGTTATTTTATGTCTGCTTTACTCTTAATGGCTAGTATGAACAGAGCATGTTGAAATACAAGGGCATTTTCCCTCTACTAAAGGGCTTCAGGTCAGAGTTATTCAGCTTTAGTCACTTTTTCCAAGAACAATATGCAAAACTAAACAAGCTCAGTAGATTTGTTTATGGCTCAAAGAGAAACATGATGCCTGAATCACTTTGCATCTCATCTGGGTTATTGCAGTGTTGCCAACAGACGTTTGAAATCCTAAAGCTGCATTCAAATGGTCTGGCGCTGGCTGCTCATGATCTAAAAAACCCACACAGCATGTATTTAAATAAGCAGTTTTATACGATTTATAGAGATGCAGGATGATGAAGTGGAACTAACCTCAAATTAACTTGTGTGTGTGCTGCTGACTGCACATTGTCATTGTAGAGATCCCTGTATGTCCTATGCTTTATCAGAATAACAGAGTCAAATTAATTGTCTAATCTGTATGGCACAAACTCTTGCTAACTGTTCCAGAGCTAAGGGTTGTGATCTAGTAATCCACACAATTGATTTATTTTAGTACTTTTGAATGTGCTCATTTGGGATCATTGTATGTTAGTGGGGCCTATTTTGTGAGTCAAATCAAGTGGACTCGGACCAGACTGCCTTGTAGAGGAACAGAGAACAACTCTTGATGTAATGGGCAGTAAGGGAAAAGGACTTGAAGTTGTTCAGAATGAATGTTAATGGTAGAAGCACATTCTCAAAGGCTGTAAATTGCACAAGACCGCTTTAGACATGGCTCTTATTGCTTTTGTGTGTTTCTGTTAAATGTCAATGACAGACAGAGGTGAAAGACTGTGCCTATTTTCTGCCATTTAAATCAAGTTGTTTCCACATCGGGCAGTCATGCAACTATTCTCTCTTATGAAGGGTTCGAACTCTCCCCACCATGTTGTTTTAAGTATACTGATCAAGGACAGTTTAACTGATGTCTCTGCATGCTAAAATTATACCGGCTGGGTATGGGGGCAGTTTAGAATGATAGTTGTAGAATATTTTGTTCGTGGGCTACCATAATTGTGGTATGTTAAAGTTCCGATACATCACGCCTGCTATCACAAGGTGAACCTCACTCAAATACAGACAAGCACAGAATGTCAACTGTGTTCGGAAATATATTGGCTAAACAAAAATGGGTTTGTTTAAATAGTTTGCTGTGCACGTTCTGTTTTGATAATGGTCTTGGGACTCTCTTGTCAGAGGTTTCACAAACCTCAGGGATATGTCTGTTATATTGTCTGACCATTCATCTCAGCTCTGAGCATCTAGTGAAGCCACAGGGAAGTCAAAGTACAGTAGCTAGCTGGTCTATCCCAGAGTCGCCCACAGTTTAATGAGGGCTTTGGATGACCTTTGAACCATCTGTAAAACCAGTTGTGTTCAGTAGGGCACACTGTAGAATACAGTATGTTTTGCAATGGAATATAGACATCAGTGTTCTTATTAGATTTCCTCCGTTTCAAAACAATTTCCACCTAATGACATGACCCAGGGCTCTCGCCTTTCAGAGTATGTCCACAGAATGAGAGGTACCATCATCTAGGAATCATCTAGGAATGTCTGCATTGTATGGGTCGACTGTATGAACTAAAACCTTTTTCAATAAGACTGTTACTTTAAAACATTGTTACTTTGACTTTGAAAGGATTTCTGCTGGGAAAGTGACTGTCCCCAGAGCTCTGCAATAACCTACCATGCCTGTAATCGTTTCAAACTGCCATCCAAAACATTTTATTTTATTAAAAATTTCATTTTTTTTATACAATGGCTTATTTTATTCCTTATTCTCCCATCTGCTTCTTTTAAAGTTGTTTTGTCATGTCCCAAGGATGATATCTGAGAGTAAGGTCTCTGTTGACCTCTGGTCTGGTCTGGACCGTCTTGTCTGTATGAATGAGAAGTGCTAAAATGTTTGGGAAGTCTGGGACGAGGCCGAGGGAGGAAGATATTGTCAAAATATTAAACAGGAAAGATTCACTAGTTTCCAGGTTCTGTTGGAGCACAATACTGCAATTTGTTTCATTTGAACCTTAGATCAAATTCTTTCCTTGGCACCACATAGACTTTCCAACCACACCACAATAGCTAATTGATAGTTTATGAATAGAGCTTTGTGTGATTGAAGATATGGGGTAACACTTTTTATGTATCTAGATTGGTACAGTAGTAGAATCCAAATGCAATTATTAATATCTGTAAAGCAGAGTTGGGATTAGTTAAAAGTTAAGTGAATGCAACAAACACTGGACTGCAATACCCATGGCAAAAAAAAAACGGCAATACCCATGGTTCTAGGTTTGGCCACAAGATGGCAGACCTCCCCATGAGTTACTCTAAATCCATTGCTCCCACTGACCATCTGGTCATCAGAAACCTCCAAGTTAATTTCCTCTCTCCACTAAGAATGAGGCAATTAGCATGAGACAGTTACTGATCAGCCCTGCAGTGGTCCGTATATCTGAGCTATTAGAAAGGATTTATAGAGTGATGTACTTGAGCGGCCCTTCATTTAGTTTGTCCAGTACTAACTCCTAGTTAAATCACATGCAAATATTCTGGCAGTGAATTTTAAACGACTGTGTGTACACCATGCTATAACGCTGTAATATACTTTCTAACTGTATGCTTATGTCCATATCTAGGATGGATTGCCGTAATAGTGATTTTATCATTTAAGTACAAAGTTACACAGTTCCAGTGGACAGTGCCATATCCACTTGATTACAGACACTGTTGTGAACTTCATTAGAGGATACGGTACACGTTCCACATCAGTAATTGACTGTCTGGAATTGATTGAGATTATTTTAGTGACGGGTCTTTCTTGAATTGATGTGGCATTTGAACATGGCATTTTGGAAAAATGTAACTTTTTTCTATATTTGTATTTATTTATTTGGTTACGTCTTCCCATTCTACATCAACTAATATGGCAGTTAATGACTTTAAATAATGTACCATTATGATAGCATTCTGCCACCAGTAGGAGTAGTAACACCAATGATGGTAACACCAGTGAGACGTTTTACGGTATTGAGGATTTTCTTAAATGGAGGCCACAGATGCTAAGGTCATTGACCCTTTAAAAATAATTTACTAAAGTGATATGATTAATAATTTTGTTCACAATGTAATTTCCCTTCATTTAAATGTAGTAACACTAAGTGAAAAGTTGGATTTAGACACACCAAATAATCAATGGAATCCTCAAATTTATGACATACTAAAATAGAGTGATTAGCTAATATTTTATTTAAAGCGGCAATCAGCAGTAGAAAAGATAACGAAGTTTCATCCCCGCCGCTGTTTCGGTAAAAAAGTTGAGGGATGGGACCATCCATTATATCAAAATGATAGTTTTAA